TAAAAGGGATTTATTTGCGGTTTGAACCCCATTGGGAACTGGGTATCTGGGTGTTGAGACAGGAACACTTCTTAAGCTGGTTTCAGCTAAGCCTGCAGCTTTTGGGGGAGGTGGTTCAGACCTGGGCCTGTGTTTGTAGCAGGCTAGCATGTCTGGCTCAACAAGGCAGGGCACTGAAGTCCCAAGATGGCAGGGAAAACGGGCTCACAGGTAGTCCCGTCACATCAGGTTGCAGTCCCAAGGGGGGCTCTGTGACCCAAGTGTTAGGATATAGATATTCAGGCCTGTCTGCAAAGGCCTGTACTTTAAGAATTTAGGTGTATTCTTATCACTTGGCTAGTTCTAGAGGTATATATTATAGTTCCCACTTTGCTATTGTTTGTCTGTGTAATCTCTGTCTGGTTCTGTGATTGTTCCTGTCTGCTGTATAATTAATTTTGCTGGGTGTAAACTAATTAAGGTGGGATATAATTGGTTACATAATCATGTTACAATATGTTAGGATTGGTTAGTTAAATTTCAGGAAAATGATTGGTTAAGGTATAGCTAAGCAGAACTCAAGTTTTACTATATAATCTGTAGTCAATGAGGAAGTGAGTGGGTGTGGGTGGGAGGGGATGGGTGTGTGGGTGGGGGGATGGGAACAGGGAATGGGGGTGCAGAAATTGGAATCATGTTTTGCTAAAGAGGGGAAATGGGAACAGGGAATGGGGGTGCGGAAATTGGAATCATGTTTTGCTAAAGAGGGGAAATGGGAACAGGGAGTGGGGGTAAGGAAATTGGAATAATGTTTGGCTAAGGGCAGGAATGGGAACAGGGACACAGGTGTAAGGCTCTGTGGTGTCAGAGCTGGGAAGGGGGACACTAAGGAAGGAAACTGGAATCATGCTTGCTGGAAGTTCACCCCAATAAACATCGAATTGTTTGCACCTTTGGACTTCGGGTATTGTTGCTCTCTGTTCATGCGAGAAGGACCAGGGAAGTAAGCAGGTGAAGGAATAAGCCCCCTAAAAGTAGCTACAACACGAGATTGCTTGTGGCATTCTCAGAAGTGCTGACCACAGTGGAAGGCCACTTTTGGGCTTGGGAAACAAGCACTGAGTGGTGGGATCACATCATCATGTATATCTGGGATGACGAGCAATAGCTGCAGAGCTTTAGGATGAGGAAAGCCACATTCCTGGGACTGTACGATAAGCTCGCCCCAGCCCTGCAGCACAAGGACACGAGAATGAGAGCTGGCGTAGTTGGAGAAGCACTTGGCAATTGCACTGTGGAAGCTGGCTACTCCAGACTGCTACCAATCGGTCACCAACCAGTTCAGAGTGGGAAAGTCGACCACTGGACACGTGTTGACAAAAGTGTGCAGGGCCTTTAATTGCATCCTGCTCCGAAAGCCTGTGACTCTAGGCAACATGAGTGACATTGTGGATGGCTTTGTACAAATGGGCTTCCCTAACTGCAAAGGGGCGATAGATGGCACACATATTTCAATTCTGGGACCAGATCACCTAGCCACCAAATACATTAATCACAATGGGTATTTCTCTGGTTCTCCAGGCACTTGTGGATCACCGTGGGCATTTCACGGACATTAACACAGGCTGACCCGCTAAGGGGCATGACACATTCATCTTTCGGAACACTGGCCTGTTCAGGAAGCTGCAAGCAGCGACTTTCTTCCCGGACCAAAAGATCACCGTAGGGGAAGTTAAACTGCCCATTTTGATCCTGGGAGACCCCGCCTACCCCTTAATGCCGTGGCTCATGAAGCCATACACGGGGCACCTTGACAGCAGCAAGGAACAGTTCAAAAAGAGGCTGAGCAAATGCAGAATGACTGTTGAGTGTGCTTTTGGCCGTTTAAAGGCCCGCTAGCACTGCCTATATGGAAGGCTGGACTTGGCCGATGACAATATTCCGATGCTTATAGCCACATCCTGTATGCTCCATAATATTTGTGAAGGGAAGGGTGAAAGCTTCTCTCAGGACTGGACCACTGAGCCTTAGCGCCTGGAGGCTGAATTTGAAGAGCCAGAGACCAGGGCTATTAGAGGGGCGGAGCGCGGGGCCATAAGGATCAGGGATGCCTTGAGGCAGCAATTTGAAGCTGAAAGCCACGAATATTTGTTGCTATCCACAGGAGTACAATGCTTCTAATGCTAGGAGGTGATTGTGATTGGTGGAGACAATGCACTATGGAGGTTTAAGAAAGTTGCCCGTCGCTTTGCAGGGCTCTGTTTGCTTTCAGTTAATGGAATGAAGATTGCTTTCAAACCAAAACCATTCTTTTATTTAAAAACAACCACTGGAGAGAGACCAAAAAAAGAAAACAAAACAAAAAAAAAACCCCACATCAGCACTGTGGGGGATGGGGAAAGGAGGGTCCCATGAGGAGGTAGGGTCCTGGGACCATTAAAGATTTGTGTATGTCCATTTATCATATCCAACCTTATCCTTCGGAGTACAGTGCAGCGGGTATCTGTACTTCGGCAGGAATAAACTGCCGAGGGACGGGTGTGGAGTGCAGTGGGTACTGGGAGTCCACAGGGCTGGACTGTGACGGGGCAGGAGTGGAATGCAGTGGGTACCGACTGGAGCCAGGAGGTTGAGAAGAGTGTGTTGGCGGTATCTGGGGGCACATGGGAAGGAGTTTTGTGACAGCAGGTGCAGGGGAGGGCGGGCATGGAGCTGCTTGGTTTGCGAGGTAGCAGGGCCTGGAGCGTGTCTGCTTGGCAGTCCGTAACGTTTAAGAGCGGCTCCGTGGCTTTGTTCTGGGGCACCACGCTCTCCTTTTGGTCCCTCTTCTTGCTGTCCGGCCTTTCCTTCAATTCTTGTTTTTCGGCTGCAGAGTGCATCATGACATCATGCAGAAAGTTCTCTTTAGTTCTTCACGGCTGCTTTCAAATTCTGCACAGCCATTCAGCCAGTGATAACAGAGAGGGCGGCTGGGCTCCCAAGGTCATATCTGTGAAGCCAAAATGAAACATTTTACAGAAGCAGTCTTGTCTGCAACACACAGATCACTGATGCAGTGATTTAAAACACAGCCACTATGCACATACCTATCACTAACTGGCTGACCCCAGGCAATCACATGTGAGCCACAAGACCCCCAAAATGGTGAGTAACCACACGGGCAGGGGAAATCACTGTTCCAGGATGGTACAGTACACTGGGAACACAGCTCTTGGGGAGAGCCAGCACTATGGGGGGGGGGCCTTAAATCATTCCTGTACCCACATTTTCCACAGACTGTGTTCATTATAGAAGATATCTCGCTGCTGAAGGTGAGCAGGGAATCAAGGGAGGGTCTTCTCCAAGACTGTGGCTTCCACCCTGGCCCTTATGTGGCTCACCTGTGTGCAGGAATGGTCTCCACCACCCACCCTGTGACAGCAGAGTGGCATGGGAAAGTTACCCTTAGTGGGGCAAGGAACAAAGGAGCTCTGCCAAAGAACCCGCGGCAGTGGATTTCCCAGTATCTCCATGAGAGTTTCAGGGAGATCTCTGGGGCACATTCCCGTGAAGTGAGGGAGTCAATCAACACCCTGTTCCACCGCTCAGACTAGGCATGTGTGGTACACACATCATACAGACACAAGCCTCCTTTCTGAAACCCCCCTGCCCCCAACAACTCACTTCAGCGATTCCCAACATCAAAGGCACTTACCAGGGGCCTCCTCTCCTGTTTGCGCTTCACCAACCTCCGACAGCTGTGACTTGCTAGCCTCCTCCGGGAAAGAAAAGAACTCCTGTCTGCATGCATCTCTGACCTCCGAGTCGTCCTCTGCCTCTGGGTCCCTCTCTGCCTCCACATCCTCATCTAAGATTTCCTCCTCCTGTCTTGGTCCACTCTCGACTGGCACACGAGCCACCGAAGTATCCACAGTGGCCTTTGCAGTGGAGGTGGGGTCACCACCTAGTAACGCGTCCAGCTCTTGGTAGGACCGAGAGCTTATGGGTGCAGCACTGGAGTGGTGGTTTGTCTCCTGTGCTTTGTGGTAGGCGTTCCGTAACTCCTTCACTTAGACCCTGCACTGCAGTGTGTCCCGGTTATGGCTCCATTGTTATCATAATTCCTATGGCTGGAGCACAGCTGGGACTGGAAAGCCTCCACTCCCCAAATGCTGATGAGGTTCAGCAGCTTGGCATTGCTCCAAGCGGAGGATCACCTGGTGCACGGAGCAGGCATGGTCACCTGGAAAGATGCGCTGAGACCACTGCATGTCTCACCAAGCAAACAGGAAGGGGACTTTCAAAATTCCCAAGGAATTTAAGGGTGGGGTTCATGGTTGGTCACCTGAGGGCAGGGAGTAGAGTTCAAACTGATGACCAGAGAGGCGAGAACAGGGATTGTGGGACACCTCCTGGAGGCCAATCACAGCGCTGTCATCGACCAGGGTGTCTACACTGGCCCCGCGGCGGTGTACCCCCGGAGCAGAAAGCTCTACGCCGCTCGTCAGGGTGGCTTTTTTTACAGCACTGCAATGTGCAGTTTCTGCGCACAAAGTGGCTTGGCCGTGCGTACACCTCAGACGTTACACTGCAGAAATTAAAAAAGCAAAACAAACCAAAAAAAGAACCCAGAAAAGCTGCCATCACACATCCGTCACCATTTTATATTTTGACATCTCCTGCCTGACATCTTTGCTTTGCAAACAAGAGACCTGGGGAACTCTGTGGCTGTTACCGTCTAACTGGGTAAAAGGTTACACATCTTGTCTCAAGTAATTTTCCTCCTAACAGAAGATTTATTTTAAAATTTATCAAAATAAATTCCATTTTAAATAGAAATAATTACAGTCTACACTGGGTCTCTATTCTCGTACATGCTATTTCTCTCACATATTCCCCCACTCTAATTCCTTTGGAGTGAGGTTTTAATTTCAGGATTAGCCACCATTTCCGATATAGTAGGAGGGGGCAGGGAGAGAACTACAAGAAAAATCTGAATTATGCTGTAACACTGAAAGTTATCACAGAATCAGCCTCTTACGTTACACTAATTAACTTCACGTTTAATTTCCATGTCGCTGGTAACAACTTATTCAAAGATTACAAAATATAAACCTATAGGGCAGTTTTCTCTTAATTCCCATTTCCACCCAGTGAGCTTTGTGTGAAGTCACATTCTACAATAACCAAGGAGCCTTCCATTTCTGTGAGTTCATGTCTCCCCGGGTCTTCTCCCGTAAGCGTGGGTGGAAAGGGTCTAAAACGACATAGGAAGGTTGCAGCATGAGAAAAACCACCTGTGCTCTATTTTCACACTTTCTAATCTTTCAAAGTAGCGGGAGGTGGAGAAGTGATACAAATATGTTAGATTCAAGAGCAAAACTAAGAGACAAAACCACAGCGTCAGGACTCAGCATTCATGGATCCTGCAGTCTGAACTTGGAATCTGATACATTCCCCCATTGGCTACCATCATTTGCCCAGCATGGAAGTGCTTCTTGTCCAACAAGTCGGCCAGACTGGGACCCATAGGCATAGAATTGTTCTGAAGCAATCAGCTGTTTCTCTCTGTGCTTCATGAAGCTTTGGATCCAAATGGTAAAAGACAGTTGAGCCCAATTTAATCACGGCATTCTTTAGGACCGTGATCAATGCCGCTTAACTAGGGAGCAGCATTCTGAAAATAGTTTACCTGGGCCACAGGTCACCATAGCGTCCATCTCTGGGGTGAAAATCAACTACTCGTACCTGCAATTTCTACCTGAGTTCTTGTCAAAACATTGACCTTATTTGGAGTAATTTTACACTTCTCTGGCGTAGAATTCTTCACCAACCATACAAGATATCAGTAGCAACAGTGAGGTATAACTCCCCCAAACATGCCCTTTTATTTCTTTAATCTGGTGGCGCAGATTTAAAATAGGGACTAAATTAAGGTGCAGTTTAGAATCCCTGTAAGACATCAAATGTCAGTTAACTATTAAAAATAGGTATATTTCTGCAGCTCTATCACATTCAACATGGATTTCATTTTCTACACATTTGCAGCATCTCCCAGGGGTGAGAGGAACAGAAACGTCACTTCCATTTTTCCCATCCCACCTAGCTAGGGATTGTATTTCCCAAATAATAGGCATCATGCATCTGATTTGGAAGGAAATATCTGCAGGAGTCACCTCCTGCAGGGCCTGGGTCACAACTGCTTTGGGAGCCAAATGCATGGGTATTTTGCTTAGTTAAAAGTCATTTACTAGGGAACCCTCTTCCCAGCCCTTTTGAAAATATATTGACCTAACCGATTGAGCAACAGGGGGATTGGGATGGTGATGGGGAATAAGGGAATCCGTCTGACTTATCCTATCTTCTTCTGTTGTTACAGAGGGTGAAATGACATTTTTCCCTATCCCAGCCCTGTTCCTGCTCTTTGTTATAGTTCAATATATTTTAAGTGAGGAAAATGGTGGTAAAAATATCTGCTCTCCAGCACAACCAGAAGCAACATGAGAGCCACCTGAAATGAAACAGGAACTCGATGACTAACAATTGCTTTGAAATGGGGGAACAGTAGAACCGTGATGCTCAGGGTTTCTTTAGACTAGGAAAAGTGATGGAGTTTAGGTCAGGTCAAGGGGAAAGCTAATGCAACCACTGCACCTGGGCTGCATCAGCTCTACAACTGTAATTGTCTTTTTACACCAAGATCACTAACTTGAGCAGCCAACGCTATGTACAGTTCTAGTGGAACTAGATGTAGGGGACAGGTAGTTTTTGCCTCAGTGTAGCTTGTTGGGAATCAAACCTTTGTCCCCCACCTGGAGCAGATGAACATTCCGGGCTGGAGGGCCTTCTATGATGAGATAACTGGCTCTGTGGATATGGGGAAAGTGGTGGAGGTGATATATCTTGACTTTAGCAAAGCTTTTGATATGGTCTCCCACACTATTCTTGCCAGCAAGTTAAAAAAGTATGGATTGAATGAATGGACTGTAAGGTGGAGAGAAAGCTGGCTAGACTGTCGGGCTCAATGGGTAGTGATCAACGTCTAGTCTAGTTGGCTCCATGTCTAGTTGGCAGCTGGTATCAAGCGGAGTGCTCCAGGGGTCAGTCCTGGGGCCGGTTTTGTTCAACATTTGCACCGCTACAGACTAGAGACCTAATGGCTAAGCAGCAGTTCTGCAGAAAAGGACCTGGGGATTACAGTGGATGAGAAGCTGGATATGAGTCAGCAGTGTGCCCTCATTGCCAAGAAAGGCAACGGCATATTGGGCTGTATAATTAGGGGCATTGCCAGCAGATTGAGGGAAGTGATTATTCCCCTCTATTTGGCACTGATGAGGCCAAACCTGGAGTATTGCGTCCAGTTTTGGTCCCCCCCCACTACAGAAGGGATGTGCACAAATAGGAGTAAATCCAGTGGAGGGCAACGAAAATGATTAGGGGGCTGGGGCACATGACTTATGAGGAGAGGCTGAGGGAACTGGGGTTATTTAGTCTGCAGAAGAGAAGAGTGAGGGGGGATTTGATAGTAGCCTTCAACTACCTGAAGGGGGGTTCCAAAGAGGATGGAGCTAGGCTGTTCTCAATGGTGGCAGATGACAGAAGAAGAGGCAATGGTCTCAAGTTGCAGTGCGGGAGGTCTAGGTTGGATATTCGGAAACACTATTTCCCCAGGAGGGTGGTGAAGCACTGGAATGTGTTACCTAGGGAGGTGGTGGAATCTCCTTAGAGGTTTTTAAGGTCAGGCTTGACAAAGCCCTGGCTGGGATGATTTAGTTGGGGATTGGTCCTGCTTTGAGCAGGGGACTGGACTAGATGACCTCCTGAGGTGTCTTCCAACCCTGATATTCTATGATTCTATGACACACACTCATACAACTCAAAAGGAAAGGAGGTAATAGAAAAGATCAGAGCACTGACCCCAAAGAAGGGTGAGCTGCAAACGGCAGAAGCAGGCAACTCCTCTGGGGGAGCTGAGAGACCATGGTGAAGATGCTTCAAAGATCACTATGTGGGAATTAGCAAATGTGATTTTTTAAAACAATTTTTTTTTGGCCAGCCCTAGTCAAGGCATTTATTACAGTTCCCTCTTATGTGGATTTTCTGGTGTCTAGTAAGGTTTGAGCTCTGATTGAAGCTTTTCCCACACTCGGAGCATGTGTACGGCGTCTCTCCTGTGTGGATTCTACGATGTGATATAAGATTTGAGCTCAGATTGAAGCTTTTCCCACATTCAGAGCATGTGTAGGGTTTCTCTCCTGTGTGGATTCGCTGATGTGTGACAAGCTGTGAGCTCCGACTGAAGCATTTCCCGCACTCAGTGCACGTGTAGGGTTTCTCTCCTGTGTGGATTCTACGATGTCTGAGAAGGTGTGAGTGCCGACTAAAGCTTTTCCCGCACTCAGCGCACGTGTAGGGTGTCTCTCCTGTGTGGATTCGCTGATGTGAGATGAGGGTTGAACTATGAGTGAAGTGTTTCCCACACTCAGAGCATCCATAAGGTTTCTCACCTGTGTGGATTCTACGATGTCTGATAAGGTGTGAGTGTCGACTAAAGCTTTTCCCACACTCAGAGCATGTGTAGGGTGTCTCTCCTGTGTGGATTCGCTGATGTGGGATAAGGGTTGAACTATGAGTGAAGTGTTTCCCACACTCAGAGCATCCATAAGGTTTTTCACCTGTGTGGATTCTCCTATGTGTGATAAGGTGTGAGCTCTGACTGAAGCGTTTCCCACACTGAGAGCATCCATAAGGTTTCTCATGCGTGTGGATTCTCCTATGTGTGATAAGGGTATAGCTCTGATTAAAGCTTTTCCCACATTCAGAGCATATGTAGGGCCTCTGTCCTGTGTGGATTCGCTGATGTGAGATGAGGGCTGAACCATCAATGAAGTGTTTCCCACACTCAGAGCATCCATAAGGTTTCTCACCAAAGTGGATTGTCTGATGTGTGGTAAGGTGTGAGCGCCGATTAAAACACTTCCCACACTCAGAGCATCCATAAGGTTTCTCACCCGTGTGGATTCTCCAATGTGTGATAAGGGTAGAGCTTCTATTGAAGGTTTTCCCGCACTCAGAGCACATGGAGGGTTTCTCTCCTCTGTGGATTCTCTGATGTGTGAAAAGGTCTGCGCCCCCATTGAAGCTTTTCCCGCACTCATGGCATGTGTAGCGTGTCTCTTCCAAGTTGATTCCCTCACGTGTAATAAGGTCTGAGTGGCTACTGAAGTTTTCCTCTGGCCTCTGCTGACTCTCACAGGCTTTTGCTTTTTCTGGGAGTGCACAACTCCCGGAAACATTCCCTTTGGATCTTCCTGATAACGTCCCACGTGGTTCTAGTGGCTCAGCATCTTCCTGCTGGGGTTTCTCCTCCTCGTTCTCACTCACCCTCCCATCACCTGATGGGAGAGAGAGAGAATCCAGACATAGGTCACTCCCTGCGCCTGAGAGAAAGGAAATCTCAGAGACAGGAATGGAAAAAGGGACGAACAAACCAAAACGTGTGCAGGAGAGATCAAACCTATCAGGAGCTGATTTTCCCCAAACCTTTCCCCAGAGGAGAGAGGAAGGGATCAGTTTTGGTCCGCATCTCACCAGAACACTCTGGGGAAAGCGAGATTGGGGAGGGACCTGCTGCCAGTTGTCAGTCAGGATAGGTAGGAAGCCATGAGTGACATCTGCCTAATGATTCCACATCGCAGGGAACAATTCTGAACTTGGAGAGCTCACAAGATCTCTGTAGGGCGTCGCAAATGTTTCCTGTATTCATGGACAGTTTTTGAGTTGGTTTAACCAATTCCTCACCTGTGCAGGCAGCTCTCGGGAGCACTTCTTTCTCAGAGCCCTGGAGGTCTGGGACCCAAGGCTCTTCCCCTCGTTCCAGCTGCAAGATCACATCAGGTTGGGAAACTGGAACCCCTACTAAAGGCAAAGAAAACAAGGGAGGTCAGTGGAATTTGTGGGATATTTGTCACAAAGTATATTCCATGGTTTTAAGCCCAGCTCATTTTTAAGCAGTAACATCCCAAGGCCAGCTTTCTTGGTTCAAAGTATCAAGAGAGTTATTATTATAAATCATATTCATTATCTTAGTGCCTAAGGACCAACTAACAGTGGGTCCCCATTGTGCTAGGCAAAGTACATACACAGAATAGTAGATGGCCCATGCCCTGAAGAATTTACAGTCTAAATAGACAAGACAGACACAGAATGGGGGAAGGGGTAGAACCCACTGTTAGAATGTAGATATATTGAGGCCTGCCTGTAAAGCCTATTCTTTAAGAACTTAGGTGTATTTTTATCACTTAGCTAGTTACAGGGGTATAAAAACAAAGAATCAAAATCACAGTCTGCCTGTGTATGGACCTTCTCTCACTAGGATAGTGTTGGGGACACTGGGGATGGCCGCTAGGTAACTCGAGGGAATGGAAGACCATGAGTGTCAATGAAGTCCCCTCGCACTAGGCCCAAGTGTCCTTGCCCCCCCTCTCCCCCCCCCCGCCTAGAGGCACTCGCAACAGTCATGCTGGGGATTTCGCAACAATATGTTGCAAAGTCAGACTGTCTGAAACTAAACAAGGCCAGACAGGGCAGATATGGCAGAACAGTGCTGAACAAAGCAGCTTTATATATGGTTTAACAGATGGTACAAAGAAAAAGGGAACTAGCTGGTATCTGGCTGGCTATATGGATACTTAGGGCAGCTTGCTATTGGATAAGTATGCTGAAGAAAGGATGTATAAAAGTCTGTGTAACTTCCTGCTCTGGGTACAGGATTTGAGGTGAATAGCTCCCTGTACTATATTGAAGCTTCAAATAAACTTTTCTGCTTCTCCACCCCGTTGTGATTATTGGGTGATGCACACCAGGCAACGAACCTTGCTGTTGCTTGCCTCGGGCACTCTGTGCCAGCAACAGCTTTTGGCGTCCCTGGGTGGGCTCGAGGCTGCTATTTAGCCTTGCCCGGACCCCTCCCGGCGGCCAACAGATTGCAGCAACAACCGACGACCAGTGCGTACCAGTGAGTTCATCGGGGGCCTCGGAGGAGACGCAATTTGATCGACCCCGGAGGGCACAACAGTGCAACGAACTCATATAGTGGAAAAGCAGCTGCGGGCGACGGTGGGGAACCGGTCCCTTGGATAAGGTAGGAACCTTTTGAAATCCGGATTGTATGCTCTGTTGGAATCTGGGGACGCCCAGAGTTACCCTGTAGGTATGGGGCAGGGACAGAGCTCAGGAGGCAGGGCACAGTGTACGCCCTTAAAGTGTATCCTAGCAAACTGGAAGGTATTTGGTTCGGATCCGATGACTAAGAGTCAATTAAAACGATTCTGTACAGTTGACTGGCCTCAATATCAACTAGAGGACCAGGAGTGGTGGCCACCAGGAGGGTCAATTAATCATAACATGATCCTCCAGTTACTCCTGTTCTGTCAGCGAACAAGGAAATGGAATGAACATATGTATGCACATTTGTTTCTGGCTTTATGTACTCGACCAGATATTTTACAGCAATGTAATTTGACTCTGACTGGTTCGGTAGCAGCTAATGTTAGTCCCCAGACCCCCACCCCCACTGTAATGGCAGAGCCGGTGTCCCCTTCGGCCCCTACACCCACACCTTGTAAGTCCCCAACGGTTGGATTATACCCCTTAATCACCAACTAAAGTCGCCCGGTCTGGATCGGACAGGTGTCCGGCCACGACTATGTAGGTCTATACTCATGTGCCCTTTAAACCTGTGGATTTGGCTGCTTTCAAAGCACAGGCAGGGGAGTTTTCCACCAACCCAAGCAGGTTTATTTCAGTTTTTGAGGGGTGTCTTAGCAGCCATAAGCTGGACTGGGATAATTGTAACATCCTCCTGCGAACCTTATTATCTGAGGTTGAAAGACAACAGGTTGTGTCCAAGGCAAGGGACGAGGCACAGAAACGGTACGACCGGGATCGTATTAATGTTCCTGACCTGGATGCACAAGTCCTCCGAGCAGACCCCAGGTGGGATCCAAATGATCCTGGGAATATGACCCGACTTACCTCCTATAAGGAGTTGCTTTTGCATGGACTCCGTCACTCGGCTGTCTGACATAATAATTGGGGAAAACCATATGAAGTAATGCAGGATCTAAAAGAAAACCCAGGGGCCTTTCTACAGCATATTCGGAACACGATTCGACAGAACACAAATGCAAATCCCAATGATCAGGCAACTGAGTCAATCATTAAGGGAACTTTTACGAGCAGAGCAGCCCCTGATATTAAGAGAAAGTTACAAAAAAAGGAGAATTTAATGGGAATGACCATGGCACATATCTTAGAAACTGCAAAGCAAGCTTATAGTCTGAAAGAAGCAAAGAAGAAGAGAAAGCAAGTGAGACTGATGGTAACAGTTGTACAGGCCGGCACTAAGGGAAGTAGCCGGGGAGGAAGGGGCCATGGACGTGGACGTCCGGGCTCGCAGGAGAGATGACTGGGTCGCAACCAGTGTGCCTTGTGTCGACAAGAGGGACACTGGAAAAATGAGTGCCCAGAGAGGAAAGAAAAGGGGGGTGCCTCTATAATGGCAATGGGGAAGCAGGAATAGGGGTGTCAGGGGAGACGGACCACCCTACCCCCGGAACCCCGAGTAAAAATGCGGGTAGGGAGCTCGGAAATAGATTTTTTAGGAGACTCTGGAGCGGCACGAACTGCCGTAAATCGACCCCTGCAGTTGCCAGTAGCAAATTCCCTTACCGTGGTGGAAGCCACAGGCAGGGACACCAAGTGCCCAGCGTATGCCCCAGCGGAATGCGCTTTGGGAAACAGGACTATATCCCAGAAGCTGGTATACCTCCCTGAGTGTCCAACACCTCTGCTGGGATGGGACCTGCTTTGTCGCCTAGGTGCCACCCTGCATTTTACTGAGGATGAAATAACCCTTACCTTACCCCCTGAGAATGCATGGATTATAAGCCTTGCAGTTAAGCCCTCAGCTATGCAAGCCCCAGCATGGAGCCCGTGGGAAGACCAGGTGTACCCCCTCGTGTGGGCATCAGGGATCCCAGGAAAGGCCACCCACCAAACCCCCATTACTATTCAGCTCATACCAGAAAAAGGCCCGGTGCAAGTAAAACAGTATCCAATCAAGAGGGAAGCCAGAGAAGGTTTACAGAAAACTAATAGCCCTGACCCGTGCACTTAAACTGTCAAAAAAAAAGCGGGTCAACATTTTTACCAATTCAAAGTATGCTTTTGGTGTGCTGCATGCTCATGCTGGCCTATGGAAGCAAAGGGGAATGCTGACAGCCCAAGGCTCCCCAGTCAAGTACGGGCCCCAAATCCTCCAGCTCCTAGAAGCCGTACAACTTCCCTCGGAAGTGGCGGTGGTACACTGTAAAGCCCATCAAAGGGAAGATCAAAATGTGGCTGGGGTAACGCCGTCGCAGATAGAGAGGCTAAGCATGCTGCCACCCTAACATCCCCTCAGACTAAAAACGCCCATATGCATGCCCTTATCCCATCAGTAGGGGAGCTTCCAACCCCTCAGTACTCTGGGAAGGAAAAACAGCTAACTAACAAACTCGGTCTCCGGAAAAAGGAGGGATGGCTCCATTTCCCAGAAGGGAAGGTCCTCCTACCAAAGGGCCTGAACCGGCCGGTACTGCAAAAACTACATCAAACCACTCATGCTGGCAGGGAAGCACTTATCCAACTAATGGAAAAATACTTTATCACATTCGGACTCTGACCCCTGGCTGCCCAGGTACAAGCGAACTGCTTAGTCTGCCAAAAGAATAACCCCCGACCGGGACATCCTGTGCCACCAGCTGCCCTAAAACCCACTCCGGGCCCCGGACAGGTGTGGCAAATAAATTTTACTGAGTTTCCCCGAACCCAAGGATTGAAATATCTCCTCGTCTTAGTAAATCAGTTCAGCAAATGGCCAGAAGCCTTCCCATGCCATAATTGCACTGCCAGAACAGTGGCCCTCAAGTTTGTTAAGGAGATCGTTCCTCGCTTTGAACTCACCCAGTGGATGGAATCTAACAACGGAACACACTTCACGTCAAAAATCATCCAAAGCATCTCAAATGCCTTACAAATCCCCTAAAAACGCCATACGCCCTGGAGACCGCAAGCCAGTGGTCAGTGGAGCGTACCAATCAGACCCTTCAACAACATCTCTCAAAAGTGTGCCAAGAGGCCTCCCTACGATGGCCTAATGCTTTGCCCCTCGTCCTACTCCATATCCACGTTCTCCCAAAGGGTAAATTAGGGCTTAGTCGCTTTGAAATTATGTTTGGAAGGGCATGGCCTATAAATGGCACCCCAGTTCTGTCAGGGGAATGGAAGTTGGGTAATGGTTTTTTGTCTCAGTATATGTGTTCCCTGTCTGCTGTTCTCTGGTCTCTTCACAGGTATACCAAGGAATCCCAGCCTCTCCCCTTGGACTCTCCCGTACACTCCTTACAGCCCGGTGATTCCGTGCTTGTTCGTACCTGGAAAGACGAGCCTCTCCAGGAAAAGTGGAAAGGACCCTATACCGTCCTGCTGATCTCCTATACGGCGGCAAAGGTCAAGGAACACAAGAACTGGATCCATCACTCTCGTCTAAAGGCAGTACCTGCCCCCTCGTCAGCAAAACAGTGGACCGTCCAACCTGCTAACTCCTCATCTAGTAACAATCTCGGGCTAAAGCTACTGTTTAAGAGACACAAATAGTGGGCACCTTAACGCCAAAATGGGCCCACCCAGGTACTGGAGACCCTGGGCTGGGAAAACTCTGGTAATAATTAATTGGGTAACATTGTTATTCTCTGTATTGTTATTTCCAAACTGCGCATATCGGGAGCATAACTCCTTTGTTTTACTTGAGCACCATGTTGCTAATTTAACAAACCAGACTGATTGCTGGGTATGTGCTCCGACTCCACTGTCCC